GAAGTCCTTATTCTAATAAGCATTTGATGAAATGTAATTTAATATACATGTTGACATCTAAGTTGGTCTTGTGCTTTATACCTCTCGGCTAATACTCGGAGTCGTTGGCAAAAGTTCCCATGGATCAACTCAGACTAACTCCCGACTTGTATCTAAATATTCAGTTCTTTATCCCGTTAGTATTTGCTTTTATTTGGCACCACCAGTTTATTTCGCCTCACCTCGATAACACTTGAAACTTAGTCTGAAAGGACAAACCTTATCTCTGGAAATTTGAAGATTGAACAATGTTGACAAATTACGCGAATTCACTTTAAATCTCTTTTTGTAAAAAATCATTTGTGATCATATCAAACTATGAATTCACTCACCTATTGTTCTTGACGAACTTAGGAGTAAACAAATAGCCTCTTATTGCGTATAAGTTTGCATGGTAAGGTTACCAAAGATCTGGCGAATAATCTACTTAATGACGGGCAAAATTGACAAGAAATGAAATTTTCGTCAAATACAGGCTTATTTTTAAAGTAATGTAATCAGAAGAGGGCTTTATTCTTATTTCATGGAAGAGGAACACTGCTTTATATCTCAACAGGAGGCTGCTCTGGAATGAAGTCTCGGCTGGGCGCTGCAATTCGGGCCCAAAGACCTGGGTTGTATATATTATCTCTCAATCCGTCAGGTGTGTTCTCATGAGTTGATCTTGAGATGCCTATTCGTCTTGGTTTCGGCACAGAGTCGTGCGCAAGGTGGCCAGGTGAACTGTAACGAAATGAATGACGATCGTAGCCATGACCCATCCGACCATCACCTGGGCTGTGTGTAAGATGTAGTAGGCTGAGGTCCACATCTGCGGGTGGATAGACGGTTCGCCGCTGGGCTGACTGGAAACTATGTTGAGCAGCAATTTCGCCTGGACCAGCAGCTAAAAGCAGACCTCCAATCAAAAATATCAGCATCACGTTGAACTGGCTCAGAGTAGAATAGACACTACTGCTCCGGATGAATTCACAAGCCATATCCTAAGCTTATAATAAAATTAGGATTTTTAAAAAGCATATTTGCACCAATTTTAAAAGCAAATAAAAGATGTATGGGAATCGGAGCATAAATATAGGGCACCTCCTTACCATCATTAACAAACAACTAACGGAAAAAAGCGAGAAAGTCCGGAGACATCCGCAGCAATTCTCTCTATATATACACACACAATCAGTCGAAATAGGTCAGATAGACTTTAAGCGGAATCTTTTCTATTATTTTAAAGCTGTAGACCCAGTACCACATCGGTATATTCAAGGGCATTAGATAAAAAATTGTTTCGTTTTGTTATACACACTTCGGGCTGCTGCCGGATCTTTATGAAGTTTACTAGTCGGCATCGTTTACTGAGAGCGGATATAAAACTTCGAAAGTACAGATTTTTCTCTGGACCCTATTTTTCACAATAAATTCATCCAATCTAAACTCCTAGATTTGCTATAATTACCATTGAACTATCTCTTAACCAGCCATTTAGTGACAGTGCTTATATTTTCCATTAAACTTTTCTTGCACCGTTTACAAATATACAATGATATTTCAGCCCTCATAGTTGCCTACTGAAGAGAATTCCGATTAGGTTCCGCCAATCCTAAAAGAAAAGTTGTATCTGCTGGAGTATTGGTATACAAAGTACATAAATTAAGCGTGAAAAATCCAGCCTCCTAACTTTCACTGCCTAGTATACGTAGCATTACGTCTTTCAGTCTCAGATCCCTTGTATCTGATACTAATTATATATTCTATTTCATCATCCTTAGTCTACTTGATTTGCTAGGTTGGTAGTAAAGCCAATAATCATATCGTTCGACGTAGCCCTATTAGGTCCACATAATAAGGATCTCATTATTATAGCTGGGTAGAATTTAGTTTGAATTTTTCTACTCTTCGTAATTGATGGAAATTTACTTTTGCGACAGAATCCCAAAATGGCATGAATTAATAAAAGTTCAAGAAAAAGGCCTAGTTAGTTATTGATGATGTTTCACCTAAAAGTTTTTGCTATATTTGTAGCAGTATTGTAATTCCAATGCAATTCCAATGCAATTATCAAGAAAAAATGATTTAAAATAATCATAGTTATCTGCACTTTCATACCACACTGAATGACTGAACAGGACACACTGTCTCTATTAATGTTTGTACCAGTATGCCAACCCACCAAAAAGACAGTTTTTCTAACAAGGTGCTGCTTCTAATAAAAAACGTTGAATTTTCGATGTGCATAATTATATCGAGACAAAGGCACTCTACGTTTGTTAGCTTCATTATATCTTCTTCATGCAATCGGCGTGGTGCCGTGCTTCAAATTTCCCGCAAGGAAGTGGAGTAAAATATGAACTGGTAGAAAGAAGTAAAAGGCTCAATTCGCAAACTTTAAAAGCTACTGGACCCAATGAGTATAATTTGTTCCAATTATTGCAAAACTTTAGAAAACACAAAATTTAATAGTAGTATAAAAATTGACAATTGCATTGATGCTTATTTGCTACCATGATTGTTGAAACAAGAGACTCCTTGAAACTAAACTTTTATTCGCATTTGCCGGTATGCCATAGAGTTGCTACTGAGAAGGTATTTGCTTGCTTGAATATGGATGGCATAAACTTATGGCTACTAATACGGACTGTGCTGCTATGGTGTTTATTTCTAAGTAATTGTAGCAAACTTCTTTGATCTGTATTCTCTTATTCAATGGCCAGAAATTTCGGGGAGCAAGGACAACTTTAACACCAGATTTTTTCTCAGTATGCGAGCAAA